TGCACATTCCTCCTCTAGAATATGTGCCCTTGAGCTTGCTGTACCTTGGAGTTGGATTCATTTTCTCACTAACAACAACAGGACTTCTCAAAATAAATTTTTATTGCTCAGGCAGACATCAGGAAGATGGAAGGTTGGGGGGGAATAAAACAGCTTTTCTTAATGAATTACCGACTTTTGTTTCTCATCCAAAGCCATTTGCAAACAGGAATATCAAATTAAAGTTCTTAATTAATTGAAAAGGTTAACTTTAAAAAAAAAACCAATTTGTTTAACGTGACTAATAATCAGTACAATTAAAGGAATCTTGTTTATCAATGATTAACGTACTCAACGTTCTTTTCTTCCGCATTCATCTCCCTTCCTTACAATGACGTTCTGTTTTGTTGAATTCTAAATGAAATATAATCTTTTTGTAAATGTGAATATTCTTAATCAAAACCTGAATACTTAAACTGAAGATGTTTATGGGTTAAAGAAGTTAAATGTCAGCAAAGTCCAAGATGAACAATCAAAAACTACAATTTAAATAGGCACTATATATAGCATTAGTTATAACCATAATGCCAGATACCAATTCAGAAATAATTGGTAACACAAGCTCCAACACTAACCCTAACACAAGCTGCAATGCTAAACCCACAATAACCTTAAGCCTAGCTCTAACGAAGCTCCAACACTATACTTTAAAGTTTTTGGATTTAACCTTAAATTCCAAAGCTAGTTATAATTCTAATGCTAGGTCCTACTTTAACCCTAGCAATACATTACTTCTAACAATAATCCCAGATGTAAATCCGAATCTCACTCAAACCCTAAACTTAAAACAAGACTGAAACACTAACTCTAATCCTTTCACCCAGCCAAAACTTGATCCCAACTTTCACTCTGACCTAGTCTCCACCTTAACTGAATTTTTAACTAATTTCGACCCAGTTCTTAAACCATTCAGTCACGTAACTTGTTAAAATGAAACCCTAACACTAATGCAAGTCTAACTGGCATTTGTAGTTTTCTAACCCTAACCCTAGCCCAACCCATTATAAAATTGAATGCTCTCAACTGGTCTTTTATTAACACATTTCTGTGGCTATCCTATAATTTATAAGAGATTTATAAAAAGGACTAATGAAGGCAAAGGCTAACTCATTTACTCTGTAACTAATATCCTTTGTATGATAATGTGCTGTAGTGATATACTTAAAATTTGGCAAATTCCATAATTTAAACACACTTAATCCAGGATAATTACTTTCTTACATGTATATAAATTAGATTTAGTGATCTGTGGCTTATATGCGTCTGCAGAAAGGGAATCGTTGTTGTTATACGCCGATGTAACAGCACGTTTATCCATAGACTGTTTATGGACCCTCTGGATCTTGACCGGATACGACCATGAATCGTTTTGGATAAAAGCATCCGCCAAATGAATGAAGTCTTCAAAGTTTAGTGAGAACTTTCTACCTTTGCAGTGCAACTCATTTTTATTGTCATATCCTAGATAATTCTTTCGTTTTGTACACGGATAATTTTCTTAGCTGTGCAGACTGGACAAAGCCTGTCCTTTAAGGAAAGCTTCGGAAGCGCGTACCGTTTAGAGGCCTGGCGAAGCCGCCTCGGATCTCATCCGCTGCTCTTTGCTCTCCCAGAGAGCCCGTGTAGGGGGAAGCCGCTGGACTTCATGTTCGTCATCGACAGCTCCCGCAGCGTCCGCCCCCACGACTACGAGAAGGTCAAGACCTTCATCATCAACATCCTGCGGTTCCTGGACGTGGGCCCCGAGGCCACCAGGGTGGGCCTGATCCAGTACGGCAGCGTCGTGCAGAGCGAGTTCTCCCTGAAGGCCTTCCAGAGGAAGGCGGACGTGGAGGAGGCCGTGCGGAACATGGTCCACTTGGCCACGGGCACCATGACGGGCCTGGCCCTCCAGTACACCATGAACGTGGCCCTCTCCGAGGCCGAGGGGGCGCGGCCCCTGGACATG